AGACTCACTCAGTTTTAAAGCAGCCGTCCCTCCGCCTAGCGGCCAGCGAACCCCCTCCTCCTGTCTCGCGCTGGTGGGAGACTAAGTGGGCCCCGGGGCGGACATGCAAGTGTGACCTTCGCTTCGGGACACAGTGGGGAGCGGGCACGCGCGGCGCACGGGCACCGGCACAAGACTTCGCTCGTGCGTGGCAGGAGTGACGGGGCCCAAGGAGGCGCTGGCGGGCAGGAGCTGGAAGACCCTGGGCGCTGTGCGTCCTCGTGCCCAGGAGTGAGTGGGGGCAGGAAGGGGCGTTCTCCTCCCAGGGACAGTGACAAATGACGCCCACCCTCTAGGAGCAGTCCAGTGAGCATCTTCGCCACCCCTCTGTGGCCGTTTCTACAGATGCACGGGAGTCAGAGAGAAAATTAAAACTGCGGGCAACCACGCCAGCCACGGACGGCGGACTTCAGCAGGACCCCGCCGTCATCAAGCCACAGACTCCTTGCTACCACCAAGCAGGTCAGGGTCACAGGCACCCAGGACCTCTGCGCTTGCTGGAACATTCTCTCACCTAGTTTTCTCACAGGAAGCGCTTCCTTCAGTATTGACTCAAATGTCCCCTCCCAGAAGGGGGCTGTCGCCTTCACCTTACCCTGCTCTAAACCATCTGCAGTTTGTCCCTTGACAGCACTGCTCAGCAAATACCCAGCTGCCCAAATCCAACCTACTCCCTTCTTACACCCAAAGGATGCTGGGAAAAAGGTTTTGAATTCTAGGAGGCTGGAAAAAAGCCCAAAAGAATATTTTGCAATACAAAGTAACAAGATATTTTGCTGAGGTAGGCATGGCATTGCATGCCTATAATCCCAGGGCTCTTGGGAAGCTGAGGCAGGAGAATCTCAAATTTAATTGCAGCCTGGGCAATTTAACAAGATCCTGCCTTAAAATAAAAGTGGTTGGGAGGCTGAGGCAGGAGGATTGCTGTGAGTTCGAGACTAGCCTGGGCTACATAGTGAGTTCTAGGTCAGTCTCAACTACATAGTGAGACCGTGTCTCAAAAAAAACAAAAAAAAAACAAAAACAAAAAAAAAGTGGTTGTGGATGTAGCTCTCTATGAAGGCCTGGGTTCAACCCCCGATACTGCAAAACAAAACAACAAAAGGAAAATGAGGGTGAGGACTGGCTGAAATTCAAATTTCAGGGTCTGTAAAATGTTACTGGCCCTTGGCCATACCTCTATTATCCCCTTTGGCTGCTTTTATGTCAGGGAAAGGGGGAGCAGTGTAGACAGTTGCAGACCCTATGTGGAAGTCACACCGGTAACTTCATCTCGACTGAGGTCAGGGCTGACCCCATGAAATCGCCACAGCATGGCCAACCCCAGGACAGTGCCAGACAATATGTATCTGCTGGTTATTCTTTTTGTTTCTTGAGTCAGGGCCTCACTACGTAGTCCAGGGTGGCACTGAACTCATGGCGCTCCTGCCTCAGCCTCCCAAGTGCTGGGATTGCAGGTGTGTGCCACCACGCCTGGCCCTGAGGTCATTATAATGAGCTACCTTTCAGGGCACGCTGAGCCTTGATCTTTGGCTGGAGTGTTGGTGGGGCAAATCTTTACTAGGGAACCACTGGGCCAGAGAAAGGGGTCACTGTCCAGTGGAATCCTTACCTTTCAAGACTGCTCCACTCTCCCAGGACCAGAGCTGTGGACAGGATGTGCCAGGAAGCACCCACTTCCTGCTATCCAGGGCCACCCTGAGGCCACAGGGCTCTGCCTCAGCCCCCTCCCCTGTTCATCCCTCCCTGCCATTCCCCTGCTTCCCAGAACCACCCGCAGGGGTGGTCGTCTCTAAGGCACACTGCAGGCCTCTCCTCCTCTGGGTTGTATGAACCTAAGACAAAGCCATCCCAACCACTTGGAAAACTGCAAATTCGAGGACGACCAAGCCATTTTGCCAAAACAGTTTAATTTAAAAAAAAAGAAAAGAAAAGAAAAAAAAAGAAAGAAAGAAAAGTGAAGAACCTGAAAAAACTGGGAAGGGAGGAAGGGAGAACCCAAAACACCATACCGTGTGAGTCCACTGGCTCAGTCACAAAGAAACACCATCATCAAAAAAGATATTTAAGTTTAATACAAATTTTATACAAAGAAAATGTGAAAAAATACTTCCATATGCTAAAAGCAATTATGCTTCACAAATAAGGCCAGCTAGGCTATTTTTTTCTTTTTTGACAACTGCAATTCACAAATGTTCTTTCTCCTGTTTTCTTCTAGTATGTCTTATTTCTTCTCTAATATGGGTAACTAGCTGGAAACTGTACAGTTTGCATCCTCTTAACAATGAAGAGAAATGAGACTAAAATGTACAACGAAACGTACTAGAATGATATCGTACAATTAATTTTCTCTTATACATACATCACCTTTCGCTTTGATCAATGCCTTTTGCTTTGCACGACATATAAAATGATACTACAGCATACGTAGTGTAACAGACAGCATGACGCTCTTGCTTTCTCTCATACTGCCTCTGCTTCATGCTTACATAAAAACGTAGAACTGCATCCTGGAAATAATACCTACGTGCTCCATCCCAGACGCACCTGACCCTGCGTGCATCCGGCCTCGGCCATCCTGCATCCAAGGAGGGAGCTTATCAAAGGTGAGCGAGCATGTTTAAAGGACTCATAAAGCAAAGAAAAAAGATTTTTCTTTGTTGCCTAGTTTATGACCCTTAACACTTCCTACCTTCTTCAATTCTGCAATCTAGCTGAAGCGGGGCTTGTTTCTGTGTAGCCTCTGTAAACAAGGTTGTTTTCCCTTTTAGGAGTCCTCATTGAAATCACACAAAAGAAATGTGCTCCCCCAGCTCCGATCTGGAGAGCCTCATTTTGCGACATAATAATAACAGCATTGTGAGGGGCCAGTGGCTTCCCATGGCTGTGCCCAGGCCGCAGACTCCCTCTGAGGACACCAGCACAGTTCCCCGTGGATCCCAGGACCAGGACCCGCAGGTGACACTGACCCCTCGGCCCAGCCCCGACCACTCTGGACCACTGGGCATCCCTCTTCCCAACATCAAAACATTCTTTTTTGTTGTTGGGTTTTTAAACTTTTCTTTTTTTTTTTTTATAAGTTAAAGTCCATACAAATATAAAAAGGGAAGGTACTCTAGGTCAGTGACATCCACAATTGTACATTATTTACACCTAAAGCTTAGGGCTCGAGTGCCCAACAGTCTCAGCGAGGCCGATGCCAGGCGTTGTGTAGTGTAGGCTGCCCTAGTGCCAGGCACACAGGCCAGGTCTCTATTCCAAATTCTCTGGTCTCGGGGTGGGGGGCACTGTTCTGTCTTCGCTGTTTCCTCTTCTCCTGGCGTCCAGGCTGCTGTCCCATGGGGTGGGCGGTCGGCGACACCACTCGCCCTTAGTCCCAGAAGGGGTCCAGCCGAGACTCTTTGGGGAGGAGGCTCTTGGCACTGGTGCCAGCACTGTGCTCCGAGCGGGCCGACCCGCGTTTCTCCTCGCTGCTGCTCCAGGAACTGGATTTGCTGCTCCGGGAATGGTCTGGGGAGGGAAGCCAAAGGGTTCAGCACAGCCACCCGGCCAGGGCAGCTATCAACACAGGGCATCCGCTCGGCTCTGGAAAGCCACCTTCCCACCCCACTGCACACAGCAACGAAGGTTAAAAGAGAGCCACCGCTGACTTCCCCAAACCTGCGGGTCTCCACAGTACAGAGGTGAAACTGCTCGTGTTTTAGGACCTAACAAGAACCGGCTGGAAAATCAGGTCATCAAGCTCGGAACACAGATTAGGGAGAGAGGTGCCCTGCTGCTGAGGGAGGCATTTCCCGTGCTGTCGCCCGAATGGGCACCCTCCTCAGGACGTCAGTGAATGACATCCAGCACCCCATGCATTCCTGCTTCTGACCCTGGCCATTAGAGAGAGGCCACAAAATCTGGCATGCAGTCTACTGACATTAACGAAGTTCCTCTCATGACTTACAGGGAATTTGAAAACTGGACTCATGACCAAGCCCCTGCCGCCCACCCAAGGGGGAGGATTGCAGAAGAGAAGGAGGGTCGACCAGATAGCTGAGTCCTCCGGACGCACAGGACCAGGACTGGAGGCTCTCAGGTAGGACATATGTAGGGGTTGGTAAAGGAAGCAAAGCAGGTAAGAGAAAGGATGGCTTCAGGGACATTTAAGAGCTAGGGGTGGCTGAGTAAGAAGCAAGGAAGGCAAAGGGAGACCTAAACAAGTCGTCCAGAAGAGCACCTCAGCTATCTATGGCACCCAGGCCTGTGGCTCCACAGGAAGGGTGGAAGGGTGTGGGTGCCAGCCCCACCGCCAGCCAGGAAGATGCCACCATGTCCTAGAACGCTGACCAAGTGCCGAGAGACTTTTTAAAAAGTTTTTCTCAAGGTGGAACATTTGATTAAAGGAAGTTGAGTGTCCAGGTTAGAGATGGACTTGGAGTGGGTGGGAAAGGGGACCTCGTGGGGCCTGCACCGACCGCTGCCTGGCCAGAGGCGTCTGTGGGAAGGCGAGGAGTGCGGAAGGAAAGAGATCGCCAGACAGGGCCCGCCTCTCGGGAGAAAACTCAGAGCACCTGCGTCGATGGCCAAAGCGGGACAGTTTAAGGGAGACGGATGTGGATGGGGCCGAGTCCTGATCCTGAATCCACCTCTTTCGCAGTGCTCTCCCCTGCTGCTTTTACTTCTGGGGAGGGGGGGGGGATGGCCCTGGGCATCCCTGTGACACAAGGAAACCCCGCTGTGCAGCAAAGAGGCTGCATCAAGTCCTGCAGGGGCCACTAGGAGAAGCACGGACCGGGACTGCTGAGGCATCTGCGGGACCCAACTCCCCTCAGGGCCAGGACCCAGGGTGCCCTCAACAAAGCGAACCATCTGCTCTCTCACATCCGGAAGTGGTGGGTGAGAGAGGCGGGGCTAAGAGGAACACGGCAAAGCGAAGACCCGATGCTGGAGAGGACAGCAGAGGACGCCCACAGAGAAACACAGACACACACAGACGAGGCTTCTCCCGGCAGCTCCGCCAGCCAGGCTCATACTTACACTTCTGGGCGGGGTAGTTGGGGTGCGGCTGGTGGTCTGTGGTGGTTGGGGCATAGGCAGGTTGCTTGTCACACCTTTTGCTAACTGAAGAGATAGCACAGTAGCCTCAGAGTCCGTCAGTGAGCTGCAATTCCGTACAACCCCACGGGCTCACTATCTTGCTGGGCAACAGACCACGGTCACTAGAACCAGCTGGCTCCTTCATGGGTCACCTGCTCCAACTCAACGCACTCGTGGGAGACTACAGCTTTTTAAAATGTGTATCAAACCACAAACATGATTACTGGACACAGCACAGCATTATTACAGGCAGGAAGTGAGGTGCGAGATGACATAAAGCAGCCCAGCACTTGGTAAACCAAAGTCTCAGGATGCTGCAGTTCTCTGAAGCCAATAACCTTCTCGCTCTGCCAATAAGCCCGGCCAAACCAGAGAGACACAGGCAGGTGCCAGGACCCCTCTGGGGCTGGAGGCACCACACAAGTATCTAAGCACAGGGGACAGGAGTCTGCAGCCCGAGTGAGGACAGAACCGGGAGGCTGGATGGAAGAGGTACTGAGGGGCTACATCCTCAGCTTCAGCAGAGGGACCCCCAAAAATCACACCTGAAATCGAAGATCCAAAAACACTGTGAGCTCAAAAGACTCCGCCCCAAAAAAACCACTGATGTGGTGAAGATTTTGGTAGGGAGGTTTTAAAAAAAACTGAAAATAAGATAAAAAGAGGAAGAAAAAGGAAACTCAAGAAGGCACAGGCTGCCCAGGTGTGGCGGTGGGCAAGCACAGCAGGCGCGCTCCCTGTGGTGAGCGAGCGGCACAGTCACAGTCACGGAGACGGAGACGCGAGCAAGGGCGTCACAGACTCGGGCCAACACGATGAGAAGACATCACTGCGTCCCAGAGAGAATGCACAGAACAGAAGGAGGGAGAGAAGTCGAGGGCCACCGAGGGGCTGTGAGGGCTGCCCTGGGCCCTGTTACCCAGCACTCGGGAAACGGCAACCTCAGCTTTTCAGGCCCAATAAGCGCTAAAGCCAAAGTCCCGAAACGGAGGTCCACGGAGGAACGGTACTGACACATTCAGAGGGAAGGACCGGAAGCAACAGGGGCCTGGGCAGAGGTTTTCCTTTCTGGGTGATTCTCTGACCTTACTACTCTGCTGCTTCGGCGAGCAGGGGAGGCCCCATCCTGACACCAGATGCAGACTAGCCGCTAAGGAAGCCCAGGTGGCTGCCGCCTGCCTTGCTCCATGAGGTGTCGCAGGTGCCACCCCTGAGAAGCCAGTGGCAGCAGAAGCTGGCTGTGTGCGGGGTGGGGAGGAGTGCAAGGGTCTTTCCACTGTGACATGGAGACTGCTTGGTGAGAAAGCAGGAAGAAGCCAGGACTTCGTTTCCCAGCAGGCCCGAGGCCCTCCCTGTTCCTCCTGCTCACACCACGATGTCACCACAGCACCGACCGGAAGCGGGTGTGTGCGTGTTCCAACCCCGGGGAGGGAACCAGGGCCTTCAAACTGAACCACATCCCAGCCCTTTTTATTTTGAGACAGGGTCTTCCTGCTTCAGCCTCCTAGAGTGTTAGGATGGCACGTATGTGCCAGCATGCCTGGCTGTTTGGGAATTGTTTCTGCTTTTTGTAAGGATAGAACCGAGGGCCTTGGGCATGCTAGAGCACCAACAACTGAGCCCTGTGGACATGCCTTTGCCCAGCCTCTCAGGAGGTCCAAACACGGAGCTGAATCTCTTTCAGTATAGTACTGGGCCAGCTTCGATTTTTACCTCAAACCTGGGAAAAGGCCCTTTCTTGCATGGAAATCCCAGATTCTCAGGAACGCTGTTTTGTTTTGAGACAGAGTTTCAATGTAATTCAGGCTGGACTTGAACTCACTATGTAGCCCCACGTTGTCCTTGAACTCACAATGATCCTCTGGCCTCAGCCTCCCAAGTTCTGGGTTACAGGCACACGCCACCATGCCCGGCATCCTGCTTTTTTGACACAAAGTCCTAAAATAACATTTAGACTTTAACAAGTCCTTGCCCAGATAGAGCCTGGGGGGTTCCACAAGACTGTGGTGAATGTTACCGTATGGCGGAGTGTGTGAGGAGAGGCGGTGCAGACAGGATGGAAAGACCGGAGAGACAGCTAAGGGGCTGAGGAAGGGGAGGACAGATTTCAGGCAGTGCTGCTCACTGTGGTAGCCATTAGCTATTTACAGTAAGTAGATGAAATGTTCAGGTCCAATCCTCAGTCACTGAGCCACCACTGGAGGGAGGGCTCGGCAGCCACATGTGGCCAATGCTGGCCTAAGACCATGGTCCTCACTGTAAACTTTCTTGTGGGAACGGGGTGCCGAGGAAGGAGGAAGGAAGCTGGAGGCGGGAGATGTTTAAATACCCAGGGAAGGAGGCAACTCAGAACGAGGACTCCGGCTGCGATGAAGTCCAGGGCAGCGGCAGCACTCAGGGGAGGCAGGGAGGGCTGGGCCGGGCTCACAGGGGCGACATCAAGACTGTGACAGGACGAGCCTGCGCTCTCGGGTGACGTCTAGTGAAGCCCCGGGTGGCGTACGGGGAGTGACAGTACAAAGGCAGCCTCTGCCCCATAGACGTGGACAGGAAACGAGGGTGGGAGGTGGGCCTGTCCGTGAGGATGCACCGGAAGCTCCAGCCACGGAGGGTGCAGGGTTGAGGTAAAGGAGGAACAGGAAGAGCTGGGTCAATGGGGTTAAACGGGAAAGCCAGGGCCCCATCGGCAGCCCGGATGTTCCCAGAGATCGCTGCCCTAGGAACTGAGCTGCTATGCAGCTGCTTCTGACTGAAAACGGAAGCAACAGGCTCCCTGAGTCTCCTTGGCTCGATGGTGGTGTCCAGAGACCTACACAACAGTCCTGGCCCCTACAGTCACTCCCTGAGCTACCCAAGTACCAAGTTCACTCCACTGTGCCTCAATTCCTCCCTGTCACGGAAACAGTTAACTTTTCTCATAAAGGCAGAGTGTCAGTGTGACCGCTGTGTCTGTGCTGCCTGCTTTTTAGCAAAACCCAGCGAGTGCGCTTCGGCCTGCCTGGGAAACTCTCCGCTCCTCCTAGGACACCAGGGTGCCTAGGCAGGGGTCAGCCAACCAGGACCCCCAACCAGCCCACCCAACTTCCACTTCTGCACATCGAGATCAACTGTCAGTCCTACTTTTGCTTCTTTATCACCGATGCCTGTGTTCCTGCTGTCCGGAGCCGCACATCTGGGCAGACACCACGTACCCTGCAGATCTTAACTCACTACCTGGGCTTTTATAAAAATTGTGTGCCAGCCCCAGGTCTGGGTGGTACCTCACTCACCTCAGAGATGGGAAGGCAGGCATCTCCCAACCATCCTGTACACAGTGCTCCTCCCAAGAGTCCCGTGTAAGTGGCATTATGAATACCTCCAAATGCCGTGTCACTAAAACTACTTCACTGCTCCAAAATCCAGTGTCTGAAACAGTATTTCCTATCTTGGACCTCACTTATGCGACTGTCCCCACTTTCATGCATCCACGATCCTGTTTGTTTGTCTTTTTCTTTTCTTTTCTTTTTTTTTTTTGGTACCGGGGATTGAACTTGGGTCCTTTCACTTGCAAGGCAGGCGGCAGAACCACTGAGCTAAACCCCCAGCCGCTTAGTTCATATTTTTTAACTTAAATTTTAAGAGATGTTTTTTTTTTTAAATCACCACCACCAAAAGGCAGAAACATCCATCAGACTTGCCATAAGGCCACTCTTCAAATTAACTTCATAAAAAGCGAAATGCAGCACCACATTTTGGGGGACACCAAAGGCTGTTGGTGGTGAAGGAGACCTCAAAATGATCCAAGACACCAATGATACCTTAGTGCTACACTGGGCTGAGGCCTGAGGGACTGAAGAAAAAAATGGGATAGGAGTAGCTTTTCCCTTCATTTTTCCCAGAACCCGAGATTGAACTCAGTGGCTCCCTCGCCCAGCACCGTACCCCATCCCTTTTTATTCTTTGAGACAAGATCTCACAAAGGTACAGGGACTGGGCTCAAACTTGCAATCTTCCTGCCTCAGTCTCCCAAGGAGCTGGGATAAGACGCGACGCCAAATGCAGGGGAATCAGGGGAATCTGTTTTTCAACAAATAACTGTACTTAAATCATATTCAATGTTGAGTTCATATTCTGCGTAGAGTCAGCACACGCCACTCCTGTATCTCTCCCACCCAAGTCCCACACACCCTTCAAGGTCTTGCTCCCTTGGGAAAGCATTCCTAGCCGTCCTAACAATGGACCTTGTTTCCTCCTCTACACACTCACACTTTGCAAAAGTGAAATTAAATTTTTTATTTTCAGCTTAATGAGAATCAATTATCAGGCAAAAGGATCCTGGAGCTGAGGTGACAAGTCAGAATCCAAACAAAACTGTCCTCAACAAAGAAAGTATACTTCTGAAATCTTCTACAATGACTAAAACTAGCTGAAGAGGGTGCAAGAAAAGGACTTCCCGGGCTAGGAGAGGAAGACTGCTCAAATCCCACAGAAGATTCCAGAAGTCTCCAAAAATTCCCTCAGCATGCCCAAGTATTCCCCGGAGGAAAGGTCTGCCCACAACTGTCTTCACCTCTCTGAGGCTCAGGCACCCTCATACACCAAACACACTGGGACCTCAAGAGTTTCACACAGCACCACCTACTTCATCATTCCACCGAGAGCAGAGTTTTGTGTCCAAGTAAAGTTTTACATGGATTCTCCAATAAGCACAACAAACATGGGCAAGTCTGACCAGTGTGGAGAGGTACTGGAAAACTGCCTTGACCAGACACACCCTCACCCCACAGTCCCACCCAAGGCCCCCCAAAAGATCCTTAACAGCTTGTAAACCACTGCTATAAACCCTTGTTCTCCCTGACAAAATGGCTCCGCACCTGCCCCACTGTAAAGCACCATCCGCCCACCAGGGGGCAACATACCAGATCCTTGGTTGGAGCCTAAGAGAATGGAGGAGGGCGTCTCTCTGGAACCAGAAAGGTCAAGGGTCTAGAAAAACAAAACAAGGATGGACTCAGAACGCTGGGGCCAATGAAGGCCCTAGGGAAACCGAATGAGTCATGACAGGGCTCATCGCTCCCTTCCACCCATCTGTACCTGGTGGTGGTCAGGTGGCTGCCGTGTGAGGCAGGCTCCACACATCTCTGCCATCTCCCAGTCTCAACACCAGAACACAGCACTGTGGGGGCACCTTGCTCAACACTACAGTCTCAGCTTCCAGAACATTCTGTTTCCTCAACTTCACCCACTACCCTCACCACCTCCAGACTTTTGCTGTACCAAAAAGTGTATTATTTTAAAATTCTATCAATTCCATCTTATTGCATGTTAGCCTCTTACTAAGGAACACTTACTAGTGAAACTCCGGTGTTATTACTGATAACCTAATGATTTTGCTTTTCCTCATATTCACTGAATACACAGCGACGACAAAGCTAGAAACTGATTAGTGTGCCCCATAAAATAGTCTCTGCATAAAACTGATGTCACACATACTGCATGCTGAAAAATTGGCAGGTGCCACGTTCATGGGCAGATACGGCAGCAATGAGCCACATGTGGCTGTTTAAATTTAAATGAACTAAAATTGAATAAAACTTAAAAACCAGATGGTTGGTCAGAGTAGCCACATTCTGAGAAGTACCTGGTGAGACTGCTTCACCCCGCAGTCCCACACACAGCAGGGGTCATCGGGGAGAAAGACATGAGGAACGGTCCCAGGCACAAAGGGATGCGTGTCACCAGACAGGACACAGGGCAGTCCTCACCGAGCCACTGTCCTTGCTCTTCTCAGCTGACGTCTCCTTCTCCTTGGAGGCACTGGCCGTGTCTGCAGGGGCTGACTGGGCACTGGCAGAGCTCCCCTGAGAAGGCTTGTTTAGTGTTTCCGTGTTCGCCTCAGTATCCGCTTCCTGCTGAGGGGCAGTAGCTGGGGACAAAGGGGGAAGGAAGACGCCACATGGATGCCAAATGCAATGGTTTCGGGCTTCAACCCGCGCCCCAGTGGCTCAGCACCTACGTGGCCCGAACAAGCTCTGTGAAGCAGGTCACTGCATCCCCACCCCACCCAGACCACAGTGGCCAGACCCCAAGTGTCCCCAGAAGCTGAGTTCCAAACTGAGTGGGGGGAAAAATTTTTTTAACTACTTAGCAATTCAAATTTTACATCATTCTACAGAGGAAGCATGTTCTCAGAGCAAATGACACCCATCCACGAGAGCTGGCCTGTGGCTACCAAGGGAGACTCGCCCTGTTACAGTCCCCGGGCTTAGAACTGCCTTGTGGATGTATTTTTGTCTGAGAAGGGCAGGGAAACCGTGAGCAAAGCACCATGTCAGAGGGAGGGCACGGAACTTGCCCTCTGGAGGTGGTAGGAATTGGAAAAACAGAAGTGTAGGTGTTTGAGAGAATTTATGGACAGCAAGGAAAGCTGAGGGACAGCTTGAGTATCTGGCGATGACAACACAAGGCTCTAGACACTGAGGAACTTGCAGGAGACTCTACTGAAGTAGACATAAAATAAAGCCCTGCTGTGTCATAATAAAGTTTTATTGGCACAGAGCTCTTCCATCCACTTGTGTACCTGAGGCTGCTTTGTGTCTACCACAGTGAAGTTCAGTGGCTGTGAGAGAGACCGTGTGGCCCACAAAGCCTCCAATATTCACGGGGCCCTTACAGAAGAAGCCTGCGGGTCCCTAGACTGCAGGTTCTCAAACATAATCCCTCACACAGCACTTTGATTTGCCACCTTGTGTTATTTGTAGAAACTTTTAATACATTCTGTAAAATGGAGAACTCAGAGTTGCCTTCTTTTTTGGCTGCTCTGGGGATAACCAGGGCCTGCAAAGGCCAGACAAGTGCGACACCTAGGAAACTCCGCTTCCAGGCCAAGATTTTTAGTTCTTACTACATAAAGCTAGGATGGTTTGTCATAAATGAACACGAATTGGCAAGATGAACTTTTCAGTGTTCCAGGCAAGTGCTACTCAGGGAGGATCTCTCCCGCTGGAGGTGCCAGGCTTGCGGCTCGCCTGCAAGGCGTATTAGAAAGGCTGACTACAAACGCTGCTGAGCAGCCTCCACGTCAGGCTAGCTCCATGCTGACACCTGTTCCTCAAGAACTGGGAATCTACATTATTCAAAGCCCAGGGTCCATCACTCCCCCAAAACAGCAGAGGTTCTCTGCATCAGGACTACGGACACTTTGGCAGATCGTTCCATTCTGGGGGTGCAATGCGGTGCACTGCAGTGCGCTGCAGGATGTTCGGAGAACCGAGACTCTGCGAAGGAGTCAAGCTCCGAACAACCATGCCATGGCGACACGTCTGCACGTCGCTGTCTCGTGCACAAGGTACACCTGTTTGTGAGAAACAGCCACAAGGGCCGCAGGTCGGGAGGCGCCCACGTTATACCTGACTGGGTGCAGGACTTCATGTGCTCGGGCCAGTGGGCCTGCTGGCAGGGGTAGTCGCAGTAGCTGGTGTTCCAGCAGCAGTAGAAGATGGCCTCCTTCTTGCAGTTGGCACACCACTGCTTCTTCTTGGTCTCGTCCACCGCCTGCTGCTTCTCAAGCTCCAGCTGCTTCTTCACCTCTGCGATGAGCCGGTCCCGCTCCTGCTCCAGGCTCTGCCGCATTTCGGCCATGGTCAGCTCTGGCGGCGGAGGAGGGGACACTGGCTGCATCACCAACCCTGGCCCCATGGGCAAGGGCATCAGATCCCCAGATTCTGGGCCACACGTGCACACCCTGACTCCAAATGCCCCCCACCAGCTGTGGGCACTGGACCAGTAACCGAGCCCCTCTACTCCAGGGCTTCACCTGCGAGGGAGGCAATCGATTGTGATCATGTCCGGGAGGTGCCCCGCATGGAGAGAAGAGCCCCACGGTGTGAAGCCCAAAGTCCACGATGGGAACTTTATCATCAGCGTAAGGCTTTGCTCCATCAATAAACACTTACGTGACATCTAGCGTTTGTAGGTGCGGTATAAACACTAACGCATGTCATCTTTATACTAATCCTACGCCTTTACGGATGAGGAAAGTGAGGTACCCAGCTAATAAGAGCTTTCTTGTAGGTGGATCCTGGGGCACTGGATCCAGTCTATCAGCTAAGACACTGTGGCTGACTGTGGTGCTAACAGGTAAGCTGTTCCGTTTACTGAGATTTTTCAATAATTGTCCTTCAAATAGTTAAAGTCTATTGCAATTCATTTGCGAGTGGCCTCAGGCCAAAATAAAAATAAATGGTCCCTCAATTCTTAAATTCTCTCCTGGGCCAGGGGTTTAGCTCAGTGGTTCAGTCGCCTGTCCCAAAGCACAAGGTCCCAAGTTCAATCCCCAGTACCAAAAAGACAAAAACAAAAACAAACAAACAAAAACAAATCTCCTTTGGGCAGAAAAGCCTTTCCTAATGTCCATATGGAATGATAAACACAACAAACTACCTTTCTCCACATTGTAAGGTACACAGGTCACATCTAAGCATTTGTAAAAACACAACATTTGCCAGGCATGATGGCGCACCCCTGTAGTCCCACCACTCAGGAGGCTGAGGCAGGAGGATCGCTGTGAGTTTGAGGCTGACATAGGCTACACAGTGAGTTCAAGGCTAGCCTGAACTCCACAGTGACACAACCAACACCCCCTCAACATTCACTGATTAACCAGCGCTTCCGAGACTTGGCTGTGTGACTTGGAACAGCTTCCTTAATGCATCTCTGCCTCATTTTCTTCACTGGAGAACTAGGTTAAGTACAGAACTCTTTCAGTAAGAAACAAAACAGCAAATTCCTGTCACAGCTGGAGGTCAGTAGGAGCTATCATCATCATCAATCTATTGTTGATGTTGGCACAGACGCTCCTCCACTTTATAACGGGGTGACAGCCTGATGAACCCATCATCATAAAATTACAAGGAGCGGACACTCCCAATACTTCCGCACATCCTGGCTCAGCGGCAAAGCGCTCTGCAGAGCCCCAGCTCCTCCCCCAGGACCCCGGCCGGCTGACAGGGAGCTGCCCAGCATCATGGAGGAGGATCTGACCGCACACCATTAGCCCAGGAACAGATGAAAATGCAAAGCCAGATGTGTGGCTCCTACTCAGCGTGTACTGGTTTTGGGGCCATCAGAAAGTCAAAGACTTTTAAATTGAACCCTAATACACCAGGAATCATCTGTACCCTGGGAGAAGAGAGCAGGGGTCCGTCCCCAACACTCCACTTACACCTGATGCAGGGGCCTGTGTTTCCGAGGACTGCACAGCTCAGTCACTTAATTTTCTCCCTCCCAAGAGGCAAGAGCGCCACACCCCAGCCCCACTCCGCCGACAGGGGCCAGGACTCACCCAAATTGTGTTTCATCTCAGACAGCTCCTGCTGGTGCAGCCACTGCAGCTTCTCGATCTCGATCCTCAGCCTGCGGATCTGCAAGAGGACAGCAGAGTCTCAAAGGGCCAGCAGTGGCCACCACAAGGCACCCCCAGCGGCTGACCCAGGATGCAGGCGGCTAGCTCAGTGCTGCCATCCCCCAGCTCCAATCCAGAGAGGGGCGCCAGCGTGAAGCCAAACTTGCAAAAACATGGTCCACAAACCAATAGAGCCCCCTTTTTCAAAGAAATATGGCATTAGAAAAAGCTCTTTAAAGCAAAAACCACATTTTCATGTAAATAAAACATCAAAAACTTGATTATGATTTTGGAATAAAAAAATAAATTACAGGTAGCTGTAACCTATCACCTAACAACAGCACCTATGTGGGTCCAAACTCATTCTTTCACCAGCAAAGCCAATGCCCAACATCTGAAGAACTCACTCAGGGCCAAAGTGAGTAGGAGAGAAAACAGTAAACCTGAGCAGAAGTGATGGAGCTATTTCCGTGTTCATCACTGTGGTTCTCAAATTGGGCAATTTGTCACCCATAACAGGGACAATGTGTAGAGTCACTGCCGGCTGCCACAACCCAGAATGCTACTGACATCTAGTGGGTAGATGTCAAGCTTATGGGGAACGAGCTGCAGGCCAGGACGCCCCCAGGCAGAGGGCAGTCTTGGGCAAATGTCAGTCCGCTGAGCTTGAGGAAACCAGATTCACCCCCACGCAACGTGAAAGATCACATTTCACTACAGAAGTGTGTGTCTAATTCTGGATAGCTGTGTGTTTTCGCTGTAAAACTCAAAAAATTCTGGCACACATCTGAGCCAAAGATGAAGAGGAGGTATTCTGGACATTCGGGGCCCATATTTTTTGTTGTTGTTGCTTGTGAAAACAGGGTCTCGCAATGTAGTTCAGGCCAGCCTCGAACTCGCAGCGATCCTCATGCCTCAGCCTCCCAAGTGCTCGGATGACAGGCGGGTGTCAACATGCCCGGCATGGACCCATACTTTCAAGCACAAGGAGAGGGGAAGGGAGAGGAGGGAGAGGACAGGAGAGGAGGGGAGGGGAAAGCCCTTTTTATCCTGAGTATAATCATAAAGAAGATCACTCAAAAATAAAACCTCGAACTCGCAGCGATCCTCATGCCTCAGCCTCCCAAGTGCTCGGATGACAGGCGGGTGTCAACATGCCCGGCATGGACCCATACTTTCAAGCACAAGGAGAGGGGAAGGGAGAGGAGGGAGAGGACAGGAGAGGAGGGGAGGGGAAAGCCCTTTTTATCCTGAGTATAATCATAAAGAAGATCACTCAAAAATAAAAAAAAAATTATATAATATATAATATATAACTCCATCCCACTTCCAACTCCAGTGGGTTAACTGGGGCTCTGCTTCTGGCTGTATAATTAGAACTGGACAAATCACACAGTACAGGGTGAGTGGCCACAGCCTGGCTCTGGCTAAGTGAAAAGGGCTCCCACCTCCCCCCATAGCCGGCAGGGAAGCTGGGAACCAGCACAGGGACCCCAGGGGGTTTCCAAGACAGCTTCTCGTGGCACCACCTTTACAGCGGCCCGTAAACACCGTTAGTAAATAAAGAATTTGTGTGTCATCTCTGACCTCCGCTATTGTGCTTCCAGTAGTGTTTTTGGAAAGATCGTTATATATTTCTGTCATCGTTCCTTTTATTGCATCCATCATCTGAAAGATAAAAACAGAAACAATCCAGACGATCACTCTCTGCGGCTCTTTTAGGTGACATAAATCAAGTATCGATGCGAATGAAGCACTAGTGCTCGAGCCCAGGAGGCACCTTTGATGAGGTGACAAGGGAGGCAGCAAAGGACAGGCTGTGGCTGGCACCCGGTGGGAGGCGGCTGGGGACGCTGCCAGATGCCCCGCAGCAAGTGCCCGGAGTGACCTCCCCGTTGGCAGCCAGATGCCTCAGCGGTAAGGTGCAGAGACCCTGGGGTACTGAGCAGGGCGGAAACACCACAGTCTCCTGCTGTGGGGGCAGAACACAGGGTAGCGCTAAGTTTCTGCACCATGGATGCAACTGCAGAGGGTGTGTTCCATTTAGCCAGCACAGTGCGGCTGAGGGAGAGGTCACTGTGTTTTGCTACTATTTATTCTTTACCCTTTTAAAAAAAAGTTTCAAGAAATATAATTCATACGACATACAACTGACCATTCAGAGTGCACGGTTCAATGGCTCTTAGGGGTCAGAAGTGTAGCTCAGTGGCAGGGCACATGCACAGGTCCTGAGGACCAAGACCTGCTTCAACCCATAGCACCAAAAAAGAGAAAACAAGAAAGAAAAAGAAAGATGAAAAAATTTTTCCAACAGCTTTTGGTATAGTTGGTTATGTTATCTATCATCACAATGGTAGAACATTTTTACTGACCCCCCCCAAAAGAACTCTTTCCCTTTTAGTCAGTATCCCCACATCACCCCTCGTCTCCCTGACAACCACTAATCTGCTTTCTGTCTCTACGTACGGGTTTCCTTACTCTGGACATCGCACATAAATGGACGTTTACAGCATGCAGGATGCAGTGACCCCAGTTACAGCAAGTGTGAGGGCCCATTCCTTTTTATAGCCCACCACAGGGATGTCGCTGCTTTGTCATTTTAATGCCTTACTCCTCGCCAAGGTCTTTCCAGCTCATTTCCCATCCTCTCCTGTGTAAACCAGCCAAGCCCCCAACGGCATCGGCAGGTTCTGTGAAACCAGCCAAGTACCACACAGAAGCCACCCAGATTTTTGCTTAGCAAATGTTGACGGGGGAGAATCCCCCTTCTTCTCCCTCCCACCAGCCGGCGGACGGCTCCACACCACCCCAGGGTCAGGAGTGAGGAGGAGGACAGGGGCGCAGTGGCTCAGGCCTGCCCCGCCCGAGCGGGGTCTCTCCTGGGTCCCCCAGGAGCTCCCAATCCGTGGGCAGGCAGGACAACAAGCGACCCAGCATCTGATGTGTTTATTCCACCAGGACCTCCTACCATCTGTCCTCTCTGGGCCCCAGTTTCCCCACAGATAATAACAGTGTCCTCTTATAGGTTGTGCACAGGGAGTAAGTGACAAAGATCGCCTGGCCAGCTTGACACCCACTCCAGAGGTAAATGTTCTGTTCATCACATTTTTACAGAAAAATACACTTGTGTGAGCCCACAACTGCTAACTGCTGCCAACCTCAATGTCATCCCAAAATGAGAGTCAAGAGAATAAAGTATCTGTGGAGATTTCCACTCCCTTGTGCAGCAGGGGCCACAGCGAGCAGCTGCTAGCACAAATACTCAGTGTTCCGTGCAATGGTCCTCTCTCCATAGGCCCCGAACTCACCACTGCACCAATCGTATCACGATAAAAAATTATAACCAAACTGCTTCACATCAGAAACTGGATGCAACTCAACACATTACTAACGTGATGCTTACATTCCATTTTAAAGCTATCATGACTTTGCGGGCTGCCACTTGCTTCCAACTGCAGCAAAGGACTCAACATTAATAAAGGCGAAGACCCTCTGCCAAAACACACAAATCTGAGCCCTCAATTCCAAGTCACCTAGGAGACAAGAGAGCTCACCCTACCTCCAGTCACCTCGCTTCTTTTGTCAACAGTGAAGAAAACATTTATCCACGTAGGCTGTTCCTGACTTTTGCTGTAAGAAGAAAGGGGGACTGCAGAACATGATGGATTCAGATGACTTTAAGAGCTCAGAAAATGGGCTTAGAGTAAACTGTAAGCCAGACCCACCTGGCAGGCCTCAGCTTATCCATTTGTACATAAAGAGCTTGGACCAAACCAACAGCAGGTGACACCAGGGACCGAGAACAGAGTCAGAGACTACTCAGACAACAGCAGACACGTCTTCGACCAGGTGCGATCGCACCAAATACCGCAGCAAGTAAGATTCAGTGCACTGCTGTGATCTTCAACACAACCCCCTCTTCAAAAAAAGAAAACTGGACTTAGCCCTCAAGCCGTGACACAGAAGTGTCATCAGGTGAGATTAAACTTCTTTTTTAAGTCTGTTTTTAAACTAAGTTGATTTAAATGAAGTAAATTACATTTAAATAATTTTAGTCATTTATTATCATGTGAAGAGATTTTTAAAAATCGTAGAAATAATCATGAATGGCAAGAATTATCCGACACTCAAATTCTTCTGGTTTTGGTTTTGGGTTTTTTCCCAAGTATTCAGGACTGAATCCAGGGCTTCACCGAGCACATTCCCAGCCATTTTTATTTTTCATCTTTTTAATTCTGACACAGGGTCTCAATACCACCAAGCTGAGTAGTCTCAGCTTCCAGAGTACACCCTGCTAAATCCTTCCCATTCTGAACCTTAAGGTCTCCCGGGTAATTCAAACATTTTCTTGAAAAAAGGGATAGGGCTGGGGTAATTTTAGCTCAGTGGCACTGTACCTGCCTCGCAAGAGCAAGGTTGTTGAGTTCAATCCCGGGTACCAAAAAAAGAAAGACAGAAGAGGGATAGACATAATCAGTAAGAAACTACAGTAGGCCCAAGGCCCAGGTTCTGATACCGTCATCAGCCACACTGAAGCGTACAGGAAACTGCTGCAAAAGCCACGTGGCGAGTCTGGACCCTGAACATCCGTGGTGAACAGCCCGTTCTGAATTCCACAGCCCAGCCTGAGCCAGGCTAAGTGCAAACCACCCAGAGCCCGGTCGCCACCTGCAAACAACAGCTCTGCCATCCACTGGCTGTGGGCCCCAGACCAGGCGCACAGCCTCGCTGGGCTTCACTTTTCTGTACAGAACTGCAACAACGGTAACAGCTACCTCATCAATCTATCATGAAGGCTGAATAAATAACTGACAAAAAGCGCTCTAAGCCGTGTGTGGCCCAGAGCAGACACGAGCTGCTGCCACTGCTGTCTCACCCAGGGGAGACTAAGCCCCCAGTGGTTCCTCATGATCCCACCTCTCTGGCTCGTGGGCACATGTGGTCCCTCCCAGGTGCTAGGCTGGGCCTGTTTCTGCCGTGAACACAGCAAAGTAATGGTGCCTGCTGCCTGGCCACTAGGCCCTCCCGTGGCCCCCAAACAATGGCCTTTGAACAAGCGGATCCCTTCCCTTTGAGCCCCCTTATGAGCTTCCATCCCTAGCAGACAGCACAACGCAGGTGTAAGTCCCAAGGCAGAAGACCGGCTCAGCCAGGCCCTGACTCCTGACCCACACAAACTGCGAGACCACAGATGTGAGTGCTGTTTTAAGTTGCTAAGCTTTGTAGATCTCTATTACACACCAACAGATCACAATAACCTCTAGCTAGAAGGACTAAATGGGAAAATGAGAAGGAGAAAAAGAAAAAAATCACTAAAGAAAATTATGTGTGTATCTCACAATCCAGAATTTAACTTGACGTTTACTCCTTAGTAACTAACCAGTAACTTGCTCATTAGTAAAGAATTAGTTGTTATTAGTATCATGGAGTTAATTTACTACTTTGATTACTCCTTGGCTATTCCTAAGTTATCAATAACAATTAGCCCAAAAGAGAGGTAGGCAACAAGCACTCACTCCACAACTTATATACCAGGCAGGGATTTAGCTCAGTGGTTCCACCGCCTGCCTCAAAACCCCAAGGACCTAAGTTCGATCCCCGGTACCAAAAAAAACCCCAAAAACATATGTACCAAGCACATACTTCTAGTCTTGGCAGAGAGCAACCAGACAGACCTGCTGCCTGTGTCAGAGCCCAAGCTCCTGTTTCACTGTCACTATGAGGGGTCTACAGCACCTCAGCCCAGGAGACACTCGTGATGCTGAGAACCTCAGGACTGTATTTACCTGAGCTCAACAGTGCCCCTAGAGCACCTGGTAAAGCAGTGGAGAAACGCTGAGGCCCTGGAAGTTGACTCACCACAGGACAAAGACTGTGGCCCCAAGGACGGGCAACCTGAGGGAGGAGAACCCGAGCCCCCCAGTGCATCTTGGTTCTGGCACCAACCAAGGTACAGGCCTATGGCTTGGGCAATCTCACGTGAGGTCTGAGTTTCATTCACCAGGACTTCTAAGTACAAACCACGCCCATGGTCAGCTGCTTTAGCACTTAAGGAAAATCTGTCCCTAATGAGCAATTTGAATTCTGAAGGGTAATTCCAATTCTATCTTGCATTTTAGGGACTGACTTTACAATCCCAGCCCTTTTGGAGTGAGATTCAGGCCATTCTGTACTTTTCTATTAAGAACGAACTTTAGGCCCAAACCTAAGAATCGGACGGTCCTCTTTAAAAACAAGTCTTCTCTCCTAAACACTCCCGCAGCCTGCCAGCGGTTCTGGAGAACCGTAGGATTCCCACTGAGAAGCCAGTTCTCCACCAGCCTGCCAGGGGCTAGCCACTCACTTTGCTAGTGTACTTGGCGATATCCGCGGCGACATCGGCGGAGGCCGTGGCAATGGGCAGGTCGGCATTGATCGAAGACGCAAGGGTGCTGCTGGGGCCCGAGCTGCTGATCAGGGGTGACGGCTGCGAGCTGGTCACCAGCGTGATGGTGGAGGTGGACGGGCTCTGCGTGACCTCTTTCTGCTGGACAGCTAGGAAAGCGAAGGATCCTGGTTACCCCGGCCGAGCAGGGAGGGGAGCGGGTGGAAGAGGAAGTCTTCACACTTGTTGAGTGAGCTTCTCTACTTTGAGGTCACAGAGATTCTCACCTTGCCCATTAGTAAAGAATTAATTTACTACGATTCGAGCCAGACTCCTCAGTTCTCAACTGAGTGGGCCCAACCTTGGACGCTAAAGATTTGATCACACACAAGCTCTTCCAGATTTCAAGGACACATGAGACGATAACCTCAGCCCACTTGAAGAAGTGCCTGAGAACGCTCCAGGCTGCCAGCACAGAAGAGGGAGGTCCCTGTCTCCCAGTTTCTGTGGGAGGGCAGGAGCCTAACCTTCAAGTGCCCATTGGCAAACCCAGACAAGTTTCACCTAAACCAACCCCTTCTGCTTTCTGGACTGTCTACCTTTCCTGCCTCCCCTGAACCATTCTTATCCCTCATTCTTCCTTTAAAATCCCCATCGCAGATGAATGGGGGGCAGGTGAGTAGGAGAGTGAACGTTTAACATGTACATGGCCCTGAGTCCAATCCTCAGCATCAAATTTTTTTTAAAAAGAGGAAAAAAGTCATAGTTACAATTAGCCTGGGCAACTTAACTTAGCAATACCCTGTCTCAAAATAAAAGGGGAGAGGGTGTTGCTCAGTGAGAAGGTTGCGGGTTCAATTCCCAGGACAGCAAAAAAAAAAAAAAAAAGAAGAAGAAGAAAAGGTCCACTTATTACCTCTGCACAAATGAAAGGGAGCGGAGTTCACGCTGATTCCTCCTTTCACGCTATGCTACTAACTCAAATCTGCCCCTACCACCTCACTAGTGGTGAGAGTATACTGCTGATTCAAACTTGTGCTCACCACCTTCACTAGTGGTACAACAGTGTATTACTTATTAAAATCTGCCCTTACCTCTCTCTCTGACACAGGCAATCTGAAACCTGAGCCCTGAACAGCCCAGTCTCCTTTGGACGCCACCTAAAGCCCCGGGGGTAAAGGCGCACAGGCTTATGGGTTATGAGGACAGACCTGGGAGGGAGGCCGTCATCTCTCTCGCCCCAGTTCAGCTCCTCCCCACCAACTCTGAACACTAGGATCAGCCCAACGGCTCGCCGAGCTGACCTACCCAGTTTCTCAGTTCTTCCTTGCTCCCCCCAATCTTGAGGTTTCAAGATCTTCCTACCTTCGACCTCATATCCTGTGGCTGCACAGGACCCAACTCGCCATGACAGTGTCAACCCAGGAGCCCCAGCATCAGGCACCAAGATGCAGGTCCCTGAGCCATGAGACCTGCGCCAGCGCTCACAAACCTGGGCGGGCCGCTGCTGATCGGATCAGCACTTTGTCGGCCCCTACAGAGCATCCTGCAGGGCCACGGGGAGTCTGATTCCGAAGTTTCCGAGAGGGGCTCCAGGGGCAGGTACATTCTGTGCATGTGCATACCCAGGTCTAAGGTAACTTTACTATCAACTCTTCACAGCGTATTCTCTCCACAATAATGCCAAGAGATTCACTCCCGTGCCTAAGGAAACTCACACCGTATATTCATCGCAGCGCTCTTTAGGCTAAGAAAAAGATGGAGGCCACCTCCACACCCACCAGTAGGAAAATGCTCGAAACAAACTATGGAACACTACGCAGCAGTCCAAAAGAATGAGGCGCTGACACAGACAGACCTCCAAAACATGCTGATAGGCCAAAAAAAAAAAGAAAGTATGGTACCATTTTGAAGTTGTAAAAAAGGAAAAATAGGTAGTATCGACGGTGCCACACACATATATAAAAATATACATGCATAGGAAAGGGTTTCACAATGGCCGGTTGTGGTTGCCGAAGAAAAGAGCGAAATGAAATGGAAGGTGAAGAGGACAGCATTCAAGTTTCCATAAATATTCTGTCCTCTAAGAAGTGTAATATGCATGTATCATTTACAAAATGGAAAAAAAAAACTTTAAAGTTAAAAAGCAAAGTACAAGCCGATATTTTTAAAATAATGCCAAATGGAATGTATGAGGCCCGCAGGACACAACGGCCAGGACACAAATGGGAACAACAACAACAAAAAATTAAAAACAAAACAGCAATGGTCTTTCTCCCCTCGATGTGGCAAAAAAGAGGGCGGCGCCACAGAGAGCAGGGGCGGCGATACCTTTCACGGCCTGTCTGGTCTGGTATCTCGTCCCCTGGGAAGGCTGAGGCTGCTGCTGCTGGCTGTGCTGCTGCTGCTGCTGGCGCTGGATCTTCTGCAAGTGCCACTTTTGGGAGGACGTTTGAAACTTACTTGATGAGTTCCACACGACCCGCTGCACAGCTGGCGCGGTCTCCTTTGGTAAAAGCGGCCTCTGCTTTTTCACCGGGCTCCCTGTGGCGGCAGTGGCCGGCGCTGTGACAGTGACGGCGGACGTCGTGCTGGTGGTGGCGGGGACACCGGCTGCAGGGGTTTGGACGGCCGAGCGAGTGAGCACCGGCGTCTCGGGAGGAGACTGGCTGCCTGCTGCCGTGGTGGACGGTGGCGCTTTACCTACTATAGCCAAAGTGTGAAAACAAACAAAAGCTAGGTTGGACTCAGGTTCGTCTGCGGGGACTACACTGGTGAGCTTTGGGTAAAATCAATCCGAGAGCCGCAGGCTCGGGCAACCTGTGCTCACCCCAGGGGGCTATGTCCTTAGCCAGGGCTCAGGCCGCTTATCTGAGACACTCGCCATACTCTTGGGGGGACAAGGTTAAACAAGGCCCTCCCCGCCCGCCCTTCAGGTGCCCACAAACTAGCTGACGAGGTGGGGGGGTGAACAAAACCGGGGTGTCCTGGTTTAACCGAGACTGCGTGGGAAGCACCTCAAGAAAGGCCAGCTGGAGTCCAGCCAGAGATGAGACAGAAAAACCCTTTAGCTGTCAGGAAACCTATGAGGCTGGAACCCCACAGAACAAGGTGGCTCCCCAACCTTCAAGGCACTGAATCATCCTCTCCTCTGCATCCCTCCAGGACAAGCTCAGGGTAGACTGATGGCCTCGAACCTAACACCAAAAGGACTCGGCCCAAGGCCAGGACCTTCTCCCTCCACAACTCATTTGGAGTTCGAGCAGCACAGCTTTAGATCGTACTGTGACCTTCTCCTGTACAGTGTGCCACACTGGTTTTCCTGCTGTGTAGGGGGTCAAGTTTAAGCCTAAAATGCATTTAATGTTAATGTGAGCTGCTAAAAATACTGTCTGTCAATCATTACACGAGCACGATGTGAGAATGGCAAAAACAGTGGGTGCGAAGGGTTCAAGTTGAAAACTGCAGCCCTGTGGACTACGTTTAGAAGAGGGGGACCGAGGTGTAGGACTTGAACAGGCAGAGAATCCGGAGGGAGGAGCACCCACCAAGATGTGTCCAGGATCAGGGAGCACTTCGCTGGGGAAGTAGCTGAAGGCGGGTGAAAGCCACAAGCGCTCAGCAACACGGAAGGGGTTGCCCATGTGGGTGCTGGTTTAGGAAGGGGCTGGTGACTGATGCAGAGGCCCCAGCTGTGGGTTGAGTGCCCCACGACCACCGCCGTGCCCAGGGCACCAACTTCAACCATGCCCAACATCCAGCGCCTTCCCTGAGGGTTATGCCTCATATTTTAGATCTCTAGAGGGGAGCTCGATTTCTCCAGCGAAGATTCTCGGTGAGCTGTGCATTTGAGGAAGCGAAGGAGAATGGAGGAAAGAGATAGCTGCCCACTGACCTGGCAGCTTACATCTGCCCAGCCCTCCTGCTGCCCGCCAAGGACAGCGTGGCGAAGTGGGTGGGCAAGACCCCAGTGGGGCTGTAAGAGTTCTTCCTGCAATGAGGAGCCCTGGTCCTTTCCAGGGGACCTGCAGGGACTGCACACAACCTCTGAGGGCTCCAGGAGCAGAGGAGAGGCGACAGGGTCCCTCTAAGAGCTGGGCAGAGGCACAGAGCCTGGCAGGGGTTCTAACCTGCACAATCTCCTCCAATGCCTCCCTTGTCTGCCCTTAAGGAAAATTTGCTGTGTATTACTACTGCTGATCAGCCAGCCTGTCCCCCTCAGGCAAAGGACACCCACAGAAAAGCCCGGTCCCTGGGCTGGGGATTTAGCACCTGCCACAAACACAAAGACCTGAGTTTGATTCTTGGTACCAAATAAATAAATAAAAGTCAGTCCTGAACCAGGCACAGTGGCGCATGCCTATAATCCTAACACTCCGGAGGCTGAGGCAGGAGGATCACTGTGAGTTTGACGCCAGCCTGGGCTACATTGTGAGCTCCAGGTCAGTCTCAACTACATAGTGAGACCCTGTCTCAAAAAACAAAAAAACAAAAAAGCCATCCCTGGCTCCTGATTTGCAACAGCAAAGAGCCAGCTTTGTAGAGGGGACTATTCTGCAGTGGCCCCACTGGCTGGCTCTCTTCCTTACCAAAAAAAAAAAAAATTTAAAACGGGGGCGTGGGGGGGGGAATCTGAAAAAAGCTTTCACTTTTCAAAGTACTGTTGGGGTAGGGTTATCCTTTAGATATTAAAATGTTTTAATTCATAGGAAATTCTGATGGCTTGTAGAGGAGAAAATAAGCTACAGGAAATTCTGTCCTAGAAAAGAAACCTTTTTATATATAAAGGGAAAACTTTTTTTAAAAAATAGCACTTGGGATTGAATTTAGGGTATTCTCTCAGAACTATAACCCCAGACCTTTTCCAATTTTTTATTTTGAGCCGGGGTCCGGCCGACTCTTAAACTTGCTATTCTACCTCAGCCTCCCAGAGTGCTAGGATCACAGGTGTTCAACACCACTATGCCTGGCCAAGGGAGGACTTTTATTTCAGAGAAGAATCATCACCCCTCTGGGGAAGGGTGGGCTGACTGCCAGGACAGGGTCACTGAGGGAGCTCCTGTCACCTAGGCTGAGTCACCAGCTACAAAGCCGCTGTCCTCTCGGAGAGGACCCGCACTTCCCTACATGCTGCACGTGGGCCTGAAGGGCAGCTGGAAGTCACCACAGCTCACTCCGAAATGCCCTTCACTTCATCACCTCAGAAGTGAAGGCCCATGTTGAAAAGATGTCCTACCTTAGAGTATGAGACAGAGCCCATTCTTCAAGACCCACATCACCCCAGGGCTCTGGACTGAAGATCAGCTGGTATTGCCCCGATCCCTGGGAAGCTGCTCTAACTGAACTCTGTCCTAGAATCATCCCAGTGCAATCGCCCACCATCTACTTGGGTCTCCTGGAGAAGTTTCCTTCAGGCATCACTGAAGGACAACCTCTAGTTCTTTGAACCAATTGGAATGCTTTTAAGTTTTTGGAAAGTGACAGATCTTTTAAGAACCGTGGTGCTGGGGATTTATAGCACTGGTTCCGCCGCCTGCCTCACAAGCACAAGGACCCGAGTTCAGTCCCCAGTCCAAAAAAGAAAAAAAAAGAATTCTTCTTTCCTCTGGACCCACTGAGGGCTTTACTTCCCATTATGAAATGAACAAAATAAATAAATAAGATGAAGTAAAAAAAAAAGTAAAAAAGAACCGTGTTTCCCTTTCGACTTTCATTGCCAGGAAGCTCAGAGGCAAAATGGAAACTCAACTTCAGTAACTGAAAATTGGAATTAGACTTTACTTTTGTATAAAACCTTTCCCTAAACCACTCACTATTCTATCTTTATTTCTGCTTTTACACTGAGTTCTTTGTTTTCAGTCTGTTTCATGGAGATGTGTCCTTGTCAATCTCTTACAAATTCTTCCTACAAGAGGAAGGGGAATAAAACCAATCCATCAAAAGATCTGCTCCAGGAAGAATGAAAGCGTATAAATGTTGTAAGAGCCATGTCACACAGGTGCTTCCACAAGCCTCGCGCAATGAAGGCTATTCCTACTGTGCCTGCGGTAGCGAGGCCACCCCTAACCCTGAGACAGCTCGGGAGGTCTGACACCTGCCTCTCTGCGCCACTCCTTTCTCCTCTCCCTGCATACGGCACTCAGAGAGAGACCTCTCATTCCCATTTCCTGTCTCCCCTAACAACAGAGGTTCCAGGAGAGCCCAGCTGTGCACCCCAGCTAGGGGCGGAGGATACATCAAGGACTTGTTTTAAGCCACCAGGCTGTGGAAACTCCCAAGGACACAGACTCACATGTCACTCGAAGGTTTGGGTGAGAAGTTAGCTCCTGTCAGAAGAAAGGCACAGTCAGAAACAAAGCCTCCCTGTCCCTGGAGTTCCCCACTAGGTGCCTGCGGCTCTGTGGCTACAACCTCTAACTTGCCCAGAGGCGATGTTTCTCCTGGGTCCTCAAAAATGCTTCACATCCTCCCTGGGCTGTTAGAATCGCCTCCCCACCCACTTGCCAAGCCAACTGGAAAATGTGCTGACGACCTTGGCAGGGAAAAGACACCCTTCCCATCATGCACTCCCTCCTACTGGAGGGGCTGCCCGGACTTTGGACAGCACTGCTGCTTCACAGCAGAACAGCAGCAGTAGGAGGCTGAGGAGATGGACAGTGGCTCTCAACCTTGGGCGATCAGCCTCCAGGGGACATCTGGCAACCAACAGCCTGGGCAGCTTCTACTGCCATCTAGTGGCTACAGGCCAGCAATGCTCCCAAGCACCCTCCAAGGCACAGGCCAAGGATTCCTTGGGGACAAATTTGGTGGTGGAAGGTTGAGGAACCCCAGGGTCAGAGGGGTTTAAGCCAAGTTTTTGTGTAAGGGCTTCAAGGAGCTCTTGGGCATTCTGATGCCACCTACCAGAATGGTTTCACGTTGTGGTAATAAAATATACCTGCTGATGCTTGGGCAGCACGAGGGGGAAAAGGGGCAGCTGAACCCATGGACCTTCGCGATGAAGGCTTCCAACCACCTCAGCCTGGTCAAACGCCTAACGCTAACATTTCAGCCAAATGAGTGTATGGGTAAAGCAGGGACTCAGGCAAACGTGACTTCACTAGAAGCAACTATCATTTTCTGAAGGACTTATTTTGGGGGGTCACAGTTGGTGGTGTCAGGTGCTGAGCAGGTTAAGACAGAACTCATGTGAGCACCAGTCCTGCTCCATAATCAGCTGGGGACCTCAAGGCCACCGCAGCGTTGCTGTACAACCTCAGCTGTGCTGGGGATCCCGGTGCTTCTGACAACACAAACCCAAGCTGGGATCCTACACCAAGCGAAGAAACAGGAAACCCGTACGAGGACTTACCATCCTGCTTGGGAGATGGCTCTTTGGGCTCCTTCTTATTTTTTCGACCCTCCCGCCCAGAATGGTCTTCTCCTAAATCTATGACCAGTTCACTCTCTGAATCGGAGTCCAGGCCCAAATGCACTGTCGGCGAATCCACCTCGTCTTTTCCTTTCAGCTTATCCTTTGTGGGATGAGGTGACGGTTTTGCTTTTTCTGCAAAGTCCTTCTCGGGCTCAGGGCTGCCCTTGTCCTTGACTGGCCCTGGCTCTGCCTTCTCGCTGGCTGGCGATGAGCTTTTCAGCTCCTCTTTGACCTCGACTGGGTTTGCAGGCTTGGGCTTTTTTTTGACCGTGGACGGCTCTTTGTCCATCCCACTACCCTCTTTGTCCTCCGGGTCTTCTGGTTCGTTCTTGGTCTTCTGCTCATCGTCACTGATGTATTCACTATCACTACTATCTGACTTCTCGGAGTCCTCTGAATCGCTGTGCTCTACAGCCGTATAAACATCTTCTGAGATTTCATTTATGCCTAAATTCAAAGAGAAAACCCAGCATGTGGCGTAGTCACAAAATAAAGAGCAAGATAACAAAACGCAAACATTTTCCACGCCAAATGCCAGAATGCATTTCAAATCGCATCACAATGGCCAGGCGGGATCAGAAGTGACCTTAAAGCAGCAACTGTCTACAGCTGACAAATGGAACCTGCCTCTGCAGAGGGCTTCCATCACCTTCAGAGGAGACGTGGAATCCACCAACTGCCTGTCACGTCTGTGCAGAGCTAAAGAGCTAAAGCCCAGCGACACTGGGACCTCACTGACCCAGAGCGTGAGAGGGCTGGGAAGGTCAGCAGAGACGAGTGTTCAAACTGATCCAGTTTACAGATCAGAGAACAGAGGCCCAGAGACATGACTTGCCCTAGGACACAAAGAAAACCAAAACCAGAACTCCTGACTCACTACCAGCACTCCTCCCACAGCATTCATGTCCTCTATCCTTTGTCCAGGGCTCAAGAAGCAAGACAAAGCTTCAAGCACGGGGCACAAACTCTCAGCCCTTGAGCCCATGAGGCCAGCAGATATCTTTCACTTGGGAAGCAAAGGTTTTCTCACAGGGCATCTGTTTGCTTTTACTAGTTGTAACTCAGAATCTGTCGCTCAATTCCCAAATCAGGAGACTTCGCATGGAAACCAAGGTGGCAGGCTTCCACAGAAAGTGCAAAAGATCTGGCCACTTTGGGGTGCAGGTCTGCAGTGCCACGGATGGGAAAGGTCCAAAAGCCACGGCCCCTTTCAGTGGGCGGAAGCACAGACTCCAGGGCACCCATATGCCCAGTCCTGCCACTGGCTGCCTGCACAGTGTGGGTCTACATTGTCACTCACAAAGGGACAAGGTGAAAATCACATAAGTCTGTGTCTATTAAAAGGGAAAAGTTCAAAACAGCAGCTGTTTCACACTCAGAAACATGGGTCAATAGCAATTCCATTTAAGCCATTTATGTTTCCATCTTCAATAACACGTTTAGGATCATCAGGATGGAGGTAAGTAACCCTATACCCTAACATTTTGCAAAGAAGAAGAAGGCCCGATCAACTCTTTGCACTGCCTTTTACTCTAAAGCCCCCTTGAGTGGTCTCTGCGTTCACCTGGACACGCTGGACAGAAAACTGCAAAAGGACAGGAGCCACCCAGAGCCCAGGGCATACGAGGTCAGCAGAGTCACTAGTGAGTGTTATCTGCCTTCACCAGGACCCAATCGAGTACACAAGCAAAACACCAATGCCTAGGTCCGGGCATAACTTCTGGATCCTGGGCCTGGGCTACTTATAGCTGCAGGCTGGACTCAAAAAGATCAAGTACAACTGCACATGTGATAGAAAATCCTTAGATGTTGGACCAAAAGGATATGGACTGGGCCAGGGATTTAGCTCAGTGGTTCTGCCACCTGCCTTGCAAGCACAAGGTCCTGAGTTTGATCCCAGTACCAAAAACAAAACAAAACAAAAAGGATATGGGCTGAGATCCCGCCCATTTTCACAAACTATGTGACCTCTCTGGGCCTCAGTTCCTTCATGTGCAAAATGGGACTGATAACAGAATAATATCCAATGCCCAAACACTCTATATACCACAGCTAGCACTGTGCAAAGTATACAGCAACACTCAGTAAAGGGAAATATTAAAATTCCTATCAATAATAAAGGGATCCACAGCTTCATGGAAGGACCATACAGAAGACCTGGAAATGTCCTCCATGTCACACAATGTCCTAACTAAATGGGCAGCCCAGGGAAGAAGAACGTCTTCAGAACAAGCCCAACTACAGCTCCATCCTCACTCAAAAATCCAGAACCACTGAAAACCTCACCTCCAATGGCTCTTTCTCCTAGAGTCCAGCTGTCCCTTCACTGCTTTGTCAATGCCCTCCTGGCCTAATTCACTTATCCAGCAAAAATCCCAGAGCATCTACTGCGTGCAAAAGGACCAGAAGCAATGGAGAAGTCAAATACTTGTGAGACAACTCCCTGCCCGAGCAGCTTCCAGCCTAGAATGGGAAGGCTACAAGCCCGCCAGGGACCACTGAGGATTCCAGGCAAGGGAGGGGCAGTCAGGGAAGACTTCCTAGAGGAAGTGAGGCCTGTGCTCAGCCTTGAGGGAAGCAGGTCAGGCAGGCAGCATAAAGGCAGGCAGCACAGGAGGAGGGGGAGGGGGGG